GTATTTAAAGAACAGATAGATGTGGTGCTCGAGGACATGGTATAGGTGGACTTGGCAGTGATAGGTTAACAGTTGGACTCGATGATCTTAAGGGTCCTTTCCAACCTTGACGATTCTATGATTCTCCAACCCTCTAATCATTGTGGTCCTCTGCTAGAACCTCTCGTATTTTTCAGTCTCTCCCCTCAACTGGGGGCACCAAAACTGAACACACAATATTCCAAGCGTGGCCTTAGAATTGCCAGATAGAGTGAAATCTCTTGATCTGTTGACTGTGCTCCTTTTCATACAGCCTAGGACGCTGCTGGTCTTCTTGGCTACCAGGGCACACTGCAGGACTTCACATTGATCTTTGTTAAAACTCGCGTAATTCTTGCTGGGCAAGTCTCCAAACCCAGCAAGGTCTCTTTGTGTAATGGCTCTTCATTCCAGTATATCTACCTTTCCTCACAGCTTGGCATCATCTGCAAGTTTGGTGGGTTTGCATTCAATCCTGTCATCTATATCCCTTACAAAGACAAGGAATAGTATAAGACCCAGGATCAGCCCCAGAGGAACTCCACTCATGATCAGCTACCAGTTAGACTCTGAGGCACTACCACCCTTGGAGCTCACCCTCTTAGCTAGCCTTCTATCTTTCCAAAGATGACAGAGTAGTTCTGAAACAATGCCAGGTAAGTATCTCTGGACCCTTGGATGCATTCCATCAGGTAGCAAAGGTTTGTGTATGTCCAGTTTCTACACATGAACCTCCGCTTTATCCTCTTCTACTATCAGTGGTTTGTTGCTTCTTTCATCATTGCTTCTTGGCACAGAGACTGGGCTACTGACCTTACCCATGAAGACTGAGGCAAAGAAGGCATTAGATATTTCAGCCTGTGACACTTGTAACTTAACTTACCATTTCATTTAGAAGCAGACCTAAACCCCCCATGTACTTCCACTTCCTAACAACATACCTATGGAAGCCTTTTTTTCAGGGACCTTTAGCTGAACTTCGTCAACTACATCACTAGACACCTGAGAAATATTTCTGTATTTATGTGTGGGAGTCAGTCCCCTTTTCCATATTCCATATGCTGCTGCTTTGGTTTCTGAGCTCTATCACTAGCTCACTGTTTTAACCAGGTTGGTTTCTTGTTATGCCTGCTTCTTTTTCCACTTACATGGATGGACCATGCTTGCATTTCAGCAAGGATCTCTGAAATCCTATCCTAGCACTCCTGAGCCCTTCTGCTTTCCACAGGGTACCGCCTAGCAGTTCCCTGGGCAAGTGGAAGTCTGCTCTTTTAAGTCCAGTGTCACTGTTCTTGTCTTCCTCATGTTCCATAGGATCTTAAGTTCTACAGTCTCGGCTGCAGCGACCATAAAGTTCCTGTTGGCAGTTACATCTCCAGTATAGTTTCTCTTACTTGCAAGCAGTGAGTTCAAAAGAGCACCACTCCTACTCAGCACACCCAGTAATTGCATTACAAAGTCATCCTCAATGCACTCCAGTTTCGCAGATTGCTAATGCACCACTGTACTGCTTTCCCAGCAAATACCAGTGTAAGCTGAAGTCCTCTACAAGACTCATGGCCTGCAGGTCTGAGGTGTGTTTGATTTGTTGAAGACTTCATATACCTTCCCCAGTATAGAGGAAGAGGTGTCTAGTAGACACTTACCATGAGGTCTCCCTTGATGCTAAACCCCCTGATCTGAAAGGCCTGAAACAGACTGGTCATCTTGTACGGAGGTATGGTACATGCGCTGAAACTGCTCTTTGGACTACGGTGCAACTCCTCCTCCTTTTCTGCCATTTACTAAACAGCTTGCAACTGTCCATGACAGTGCTCCAGTCCTGTAAACTATCCCACCCAAATTCTGTAAATTCCAATGATATGTAACTCTGTGCCTGCACAGAAAGTTCCAGTTATTCTTGTTTCTCACACTGGGAATGGTTTCCATACACAAGAATAAAGAATAGCATAATTTTTATGATATAATTAAGGATTATGTAAATAAAATGTGTCCCATGGTGATTAAGCAAAGACCAAATGTTTCATCCTGAGACAGCTATATTCCAAGATATGACCCTTCAGATGTCAAAAAAACCGTAGTGCTATACATGCAGAATACCCTGATCATTTTTAGTGCCTGAGTAACCATATCTTCCAAAATACAGCATCTCCTAAATGAAGAATTTCTTTAGACTACTATGCTTCACAAAAGACCCTACAAATAGTAGAACTGTAAATTAAAGGAGGTAAAGGGGGAAAAAATGGGGAGAAGCTCAACAGAACTCATCATGTAAAGCAGATGCAGTCTCCTCAAATCCTTTTAAAACACACACAAAGAAGTCAGCTTTTATGAAAAGTCTCCATTTCTTTAAATGCATTACTTACTGTGCTTTTTTCTTATATTCTTCAATAACAAAATCTTCCTTTTGAAAAATTTGCAGAAGTTTATTGTATGCGACTCTACGTCTTGCATCTGCCATGTACATATCTTCAGGGCTCAACCTCACAGCTTCAGCAAAAGGTATATCAGTGCCTAAATGAAAGTCAATGTTTGGATTAGATCATTCACTTTTAGCAAACAGACAACTTCCTAATCTACCTAGTTCGAACTGAAAGGCTCACAAATCAAGATGCCCATTTTACCAGGACTGAAATAGAGTATGCAGTGTACTGTCTTTTTTGCCAGTTCTTTCTGTTGTATAATTTTCATTCCCTCACTCTCACTCCCTTTCCCTATTCTTTAGGTCCCCTAAACAATACAAGATGCCTCGAATAGACAGTTCTGATCCTTCAGAATTCCTCAAGTTGTGAGAAAGAGTATATTATAGGGATCCAATACCTTTAGACCAAACCATCGCTTGTGTGGGTAATGGTGTACAGCATTACACAGATGAACTTTGGAGCAGGACCCATAAAGCAACAGAAAGCAAAACAATCTGCACTGTTCTATCAGCAGTAGCTCTATGCAAGTGCACAGAACCCTGTGAAAGATTTTGAACTGAGCAGCTGACTCAGAACTACTTAAAACTCTTGGCATATATTAAAGATTTGACAGATTCACTGTCAAACATGACAAATGAAGCATTTTTATTGTTATATTACAGCTTACCTACAGAGTTCCTTTTCATGTCCTCAATCATCACATGTCTTGCAAACTGATGGAATAGTTGAATAAATTTAGGACCACCAGGAGAAATAAGTGAAGAAGGTGTGATTCGTGGAAGACAGCTTTGGTCTTCATTCTAGAAAAGTTAAATTAGTTTTAAACGCAAAACTAATCTAAGACATAAAGCCTAAACAACAGCCATCAAACATTTAGCTGAGTATCAAAACACTGCAGCCTACTTGCTAGCAAGCTTGATGCAAAGCTAAACTACTTCGCCACCACAGCTGACATCTAGTCTAGTCAGCAGAAGAGACTAAAAGTTTTGGAATGTTCCCCCCACCATTCCTAGTTCTGTACGTAAGACAGTTTCAACGCAAAGACTGAAATCAGTGTTGGGTAAACATTAGAAATCTCTGCCCTCCTCACTCCTAACTGGTAATCCCTACCTTTGAAAAAAACATTCAAGTTTACTTTCATATTTTCTACAGAAGTCATTAATCAGTGTACTTTGTTTTAAAGATATTGCATTGTAGGCTTTCACCTTGTCCATTACTACTAAAAAATAAGTGTTCCAGTACCTAAAGACCTGATTTCTAGAACTATCATTAAAATAAAGGCAGCATGAGAAGATAACATAATAACCAATGATACCTGAGCAATCAATTTTGGTTTATCTCTTTTCCTTTAGAAAGATCACCTTAAACTTCAGTCCCTTTCCCCATACATAAGGAAAGACTAAGGTTAAAAAAAGTTTTTCATGCACATGAAACCACTTTCAATTCCACCATGCCACAATTTTTTCCTCAAACAAGGTAAAACTGAATTCTTTGCTAAAACAACCTTATTTAAAACTCTTATTTGAAAGCACTACATATTCTCTCAAAAAAAGACTGAGGCCACAGAAACCAGTAGAACATCAATTTCCCTTCTTCATAATACTCACGGCAATATCTTTTAGCCACATACAGCACTGCTTCCTAAATTCAGGATTTGAGAAGGTTGCTAATGGAAAGGAACAGTGCCTTTCCGTTTAAAAAGGATGTGGGAAAAGAAGAAAAAAAAAAAAGAAAAAGTAATTTCAAAACATGTTCAAATATTCAGTTACCTAATTAGCCATTATAAGAACAAGACTACAACAAAGACTTCTTAGTGATGCCTCCTGGACAAGCCAGAAAATGCTATAGCCTAGACCAAGCTATATAGCCTAGACCAAGAATAGCTAAAAGTTTGTTAAATGACAAGGTTTTCTTACCATAAGAAGTTAATTACAGACTATTTCAGAGACAGATTTGTCTGCAGCTCTTTTTAACTCAGGAGAAGGGAAAAGGGGGAAAAAAAGGGGTCAGAACGCTGTCAATTTTCATATCACTGGTCTTGCTCCAGCTGTTTCTTTAATGTGGAAGCTAAAATAGCTCAGCTATACAAGGAAAAACATTAAGGAGGATGGGGTTCTTGCCATGTTGAAGGTCCTGGCAGCAATCTGTAACTGGGAAATGTTACTCACTATTTGCTCAGGGAAATGAACGGGAAAGGTAGATTACTTTGCAGCTATGAAAGTTCCTACCCAACTCGCCAAGTTACAGATACTATCAGAAACAACTTTAATTAAGGCAAGTTTTCTGATAAGTTACAGAGTTGTGATCAAGAGGAAACAAATTCTCTGACTGTATGTTTTTTCCACAGCATTCCCCAAGAGACCACTTTTTCCCCGCCCTCAGCAACTGCATAAACCATATTCTTGATTACGTGCACAGCAGTAACCTCACAAGCCAAACACTTACCTGAAAGTTTTTGCTGCGCGGCGCTTATCCAGCTTAGCAAACAAGAAGAGGGCAATGGCATGAAATGCACCGCTGTTTGGTTTATCAAACATATTCCTAATACACAAATAAACAGCTACATCAGAAGTAGTCAGGATGCCGAATTAAGATAGCACTTTTACCGGTCGCTTAAGATTACAAAATACTACTTTATATTAAAGTGTTATAAGTTATACATTGAATGCTTTATTTTCTGCATGGTTGAAAATATACATCCTCCTGCCTATTTAACAAAGTTGAAATAATTTCGGTGAGAGCGTTTTCTCTCAAGTGTTCAAACCAAGAGGTCCGGAGCCGATCCGCTCACTTTCTCCATAGGACTGTACGGGATGCATCAATCGGAGAGCAAGAGTTATTACTGGTTCTGGGTTTCATTTCTCCAGACATGGGTCACACAGATCACTACAGCAATCCAGGCATTTCCTCCGTGTTACCCACCGCCAAGGGCAGCGCGCCCCTCGGCGGCCACGGCAG